TATACCTTATAATTTTTCAACTCTCATTATAAATCATCCTATCAAGTTGCTATGGTGAAAGCCACCCAAAAGGACCATGCTCAATTGGGTCAAGTACTTAGCAAATATAGTTGCAACCTTAGACACTATTCCAACATGCACATCATACTAAAACACATATAACAACAACTCTAACACAACATATATAAAGCAAGCATGGATACTTTAGGAAATCACTTTTTCCGAGCTCCGACTGATTGTGCACATCACATATTCTCTTTTATGCTCTTGAAATGAATCTCTTTTAAAAAGGTTTATAGAAACCCTTAGCTCCATAGTTTAAGTTTGGAATGCCACGAGTGTTCATCCAAATCCTTTAAACCGAGGCTCCGATACCAACTTGTAACGTACCATTTTCACAACCAAAATTTTAATTTTTAATTAAGGAAAAATTGCTCATTTTCAAAATACAAGTTAAGAAAACCAACTGTTCCAAAGTACATTGTTTAAAATCAGAGTATTATAGTAAACAGGAAATATTCATTGCTGCTGATAAATGTATGCCTTTTCCTTTCCATGATTACAGATGATACCTGAAAACAATAACCGTTGGATAAGCACAAAGATTAATGAGTTCCCCCAAAATATACATACATCACAATATAATAAACAATTATGGGTTATCAACAACCCTAGGGATTATCAACAATCCTAGTGGGCTAACAGCACACCCTATAAATTAATATGTTCATGAGTTATCAGCTACACTGCGTATTATTGGCAATCCTGGGGATTATCAGCAATACAATTTAGACAAAGAATCAAACAACAATAAAGATATATCTAGTAAAATACTTAAATACCACATAGTTAAAGTAATGAGAAGACTCACTACCACATACTAGACCCCTCACAACACATTGCTTCACTACCAGTAAATCTCCATGGGATGCTTAGCCATACATAATCAGAGGCGAGATAGCTACCCAAATAGATAATCCTACTCTAGAATCAAAACTAAACAAGGAACATCCAAGAAAGCCTAGATCAAGAGTTCTCAGGCTATCCTACATGGCTACATATGATCCTTAGGGCATTCCACTTGACGATAATCAACCTACTCATACTATAACTAACATACCACTACAACTACATCCTAACACATAAGGATATAAATATATCTAACAACTCACTGCAACGCCACAATATCCTATCCATCTGGACACATAACCAAAACTAATGGGGCGACATTGGTGCCTTCGACCCACGTGTACATTGTGGAAAACTCACCTGAAACGAAGAACCCAAGACACTACGACACACTCCCCTTTTGGTGCTACTTGCTCCCATAATCCCTCTAGCACCAAGTCATGGAAGAATCTTAATCAATAGCCCAAATCCTTCAAGTTTGACTCAAAGTCAAACTAGGCAAAATTCAACAAAAGTTAACGGTCAACAGGTCAACTGCCCCTCACGACGTGACAATCTATTGGTCACGTCGTGAGCCACTTAAATAAAAAATAGTCGCAGTCCTTTGATCCTCACGACATGACATGCATAGCCTCACGTCGTAAGAACTGATTGCGTGGTATTTTGATGAATTGAACCCCTTAATCCATTAAGCCACTAATCCACCACCTCCAGAAGACTTCCTTACACCCCCAAAGCCATAAAATAGATTCTTTAAGCTCTTGCATGTCCAATGCAAGACTTGAGCTCAAGTTAGATCATTTTATGAAGAAAAGGAGGTCAAAACCTAAACATGAGCTCAAACATCAGCCAAACTTCAGATCTACTACATATAATCACCAAGGGACTCTAAGTACCCATAAAGTTTCCTACTTTATGGAGTCCCAACACTCTAACACATCTAATCATGAACCATAATGCATAAAACTATAGATCTAGCAACAAGGAACCATAAAGGATGAAGCTTGAATACTCACAAGGGTCCAAAGAGGTTGCTAGAAGATGCCAATAAAGCTTGCAAGATGGATCTATGCACCAAAGGTGATCCTTTCTTCTTCGAGTCACCAAAACACCACAAATGCTTAAGAACTCAAGGATGGGACTAGGGTTTCGTTTAAAATGAAAGGAGGCTGAAAAAGATACCCTAGGTTATGAGATAACATCCTTGAATATGGAAACAACCCTAAAAATTTGTGGGCATGGGCTACAACTGGCCTCACGACGTGAGCATTATATTGTAATGTCGTGACTCTCATTTCCACGTGTCACATCGTGACCTCCTCATGGTTACGTCGTGACACCCACTTTCCCTAAAAGTCATGCCCTTGACCCCTTGATGGCATAAACCGATCTGTTCTGGAAACTGGGTGTTACATATCCTCTTCTATATCAAAGGTTGTAAGGAACCGATTGCATATATGTATACAAAGAACATAGCTCAATAACATTTGTGTGTTCTTTTCTTTGGCATGGAATTAATTGTAGGTCTATATAAAGATCAAGAATAAAGGCATCAGTCTTTATGTTGGAATAGTAACTAGATTGCATTGCACCCTATTAATTTACCTTTGAATGTCAATAGAGTTAGATCAAACTCGTAACAACTTTTCCCATAGCAAACCAAGGTTTCTTATGGATCTCCCATTGAAGCAGTTTCACCCAACAAACATATCATGAGTGGAATCCTGGGTCTTTATGATCCGACCATAAACGGTAATCTTATTTAAAATGGTATGATGGGGGAATGGTTGGAGGGGTTATAGTTGTTGGAGGATCTCTGTTAGTTTCACTAAATGGAATTGGGAAGAAAAATGGAGATACATCTTCAGTGTCACTTGCTCCTTATAAATTTAGTGGAGTTGTGAGGGGAAGGAAAAGTGGTGCAGTAGAGAAGGTTGATGAAAGGAGAAAAATATAAATGATCAAGATCTTGATTTCATATGTGGCGATGTTAATTTCATAAGGGTGGTGCTGATTTTCACAATGACGATGTTGAAGTGAGTAATGGCGGTGGTCGAAGGTTTCAATATACCATGAATTTTATGTGGTTTTTAGTTGTATTTGTAAGTTATGTGTGTCTGAGGGGATATGGGAAAAGGGGTGGGGGTGGGGTGATATCTATTATATTTTATTTTTCCTTTTTAATATAAATGAAATAAAGGAAAAAAGATAAAAACTATTTAGAGGGGCATATAAGTCATTTCACGTGGCTCATGGACCAACCATATAAGTTTTAGAGACCATAAGGACCATGTTCGTAAAAAAAAAAATTAACAGATACTGAAATTGTGTGATTTGGTAAACCATAGAGACCATTTATGTAATTTTGTATAAAATATATGTATTGATACTTTTGTAAATATCTTGACTATGAAATCATGTTAAAATTCTTGATTAAATATAAGTCATTTCACGGAGCTCATGCACAAACCATATAAGTTTTAGAGACCATGAGGACTATGTCCGTAATTAAACAGATGCTGAAATTGTGACATTTGATAAACCACAAAAACCACTTATGTAATTTGGTATAAAATATATTTTATTGATAGACTTTTGTAAATTTCTTAACTGCGAAATCATGTTAAAATTCTTGATTAAATATAAATTGCAGAGTAGAATAAAAAAATCACTATATTTCATCGACATGTCTAAAATACATATTGACTGTCACCATCACCTCGATAACTATGCAATGGTTTTCGTTAATCTTTAACAGGGCAAATGAATCCCTCTAATACCATTTACGGATTCACCTCAACAATAACTATAAAATATCATTTATATTTTTCGTAGACTTTCAAAATATTATATATATCCATATTATTATTTTAGTCAATTTGAATAAATTTATTCAAATTGACTAAGATAATAATATGGATATATATAATATTTTGAAAGTCTACGAAAGATATAAATGATATTTTAAATCGAGATTTATAAAAGAATACAATATCAACTGATAATTCACATCATACGGGCTCCACTCGAAGAAAACCAACCAAACCCAAATTGATGATAATTAGTTTTTTTTAGTTCTTTTGTCATTGATTTTGCTCGAAAGATCTTAGAAAAATACAATGAAAAATTAAGATATATTGAATAAGTAACATAAATGGGATTTTGCTCGAAAGATCTTAGAAAAATACAATGAAAAATTAAGATATATTGAATAAGTAACATAAATGGTCCTAATGATTCATTGTATTTTTCAAATGTGGTTCAAGGGCATTTAAAAAAAAAAACATGTCAAAAGTTAGATTTAAACGACTAAATGACCAACCATACAATAAAACCACAAGAATGATTCACATAACAAAATGCAAATTTGAACTAAAGTTGCCAATATTTGTGAACTATACGGACCATTTATGTAATTTTGTCTAGGGGTTCAAGATTGTTGTTATTTAGTTATAAGTCATTTTTTGTTGGATTCTTTAATCGAGATTAAAATTACACGATGATTGCAAAATATATTTTGTTGACTTATTTATTTGAGACTGAAATTGGGTCACACATGTAGTAACAATGTACCTTCATCCTTATTCCACTCCTGTCGCTAATTTAGTGCAACTAATATCAACATATTTTCATTTGAGTGCAAGTCACAACAATATATTTTCGTTTTCATTTGCATAACATACAAACAACAACATATATATTTTCATCTTTATTTCGGTTTTGAATTTGGATTCGATCCAAATATAAAACTTATAAATTAATTGGATAATTTCTATGGATAGAACATCGCCGAATAGTAATATGCTAAAAATTGAACACATCAACATAAGTACAATAGAAAAATCGACAGTTAAACAAAACCAATGATAGAACTTTTGCCACAGAAAAAAGAAAAAAAAATCTACAAAGCAATTGAAACTCTTGCTACTAAAAAAAATAAGAAAAAAAATCAAGACACTTCCTAACATTGATTGACAAACTGAAATCCGCAAAGCAACTTTTAACTTCTATCAAGACACTTCCTAACTAGATGACTATATATCCACTAGGATTTACTTAAGACATGATAAATTCATAAACCAAACAAAACATCATAATTTCACATGTTTGGAACTAATATCCACTTCACTTATTTTTGTTAACTTTACCTTCAAACCATGTTTCATCTGAAGTACTATGGAATCGCTTGGAAACACCGGGTGACCTTCCACCAACTCAATATGATAACTGTAAATGATCGTAGATGCCACTATCTTCAGCTGAGTGAAACTCATATCCTTACCTAAACAAGTCCTCGGACCTCCATTAAATGCCGGGAATTTGTAATATGGCTCATATTTCATCCCTCCTCCCTCTAAGATCCATCTTTCAGGCTTAAATTCCATGCAATCCTTACCCCATATTTTTTTCATCCTGCCCATGCCATAGTGATATAGAATAATCTTGGTTTTTTTACTAACCTTATGGCCACTTGGAAGGATATCCGGTTGTAATGGAATCTTGTGGTTAAAAGGAATAGGTGGATAAAGCCTCAAGGCTTCGCATAAAGCCCCATGAAGATAAACCAGTTTGCTTAACTCTTTCGAATTCCATTTTCGATCATCTACTTTCACCTCCATAAACCTGTGAATCTCCTCTCGAATCTTGTCCTCTACGATTGGATTTTTTGCAACGAGATAGAAAAACCATGAGAGGGTGGTGCTAGTTGTATCTTTCCCTGCACCCACTAGGGTACCTAAGGTATCCCTTAAAAACTTGTTGTGATCTCCAGAACTACCGGTTTGGTCCTTGAATTCTCTAATCAGCGATGTTCCTAGTCCAACGTTTCCTTGCCCATGTTCTTTCTCAATGTCGCTCGAGTACTCATTTTGTAATCTCGCTATGCACTTGTATAAAAAGTGATCAAGAACATTGCATGCTTCACTCAACTTCTTCTCATTCCCGATTCTTAGTAGTTGTTGCAATTTCCAAAGAAACGGTGGCATAAAATGTCTGTAAAATATACCTTCTTGAATATCTGTCATCGACTTCTCACACGGAAGGGATGGGAAATCAACAGAAAGGCTTTTCGGGTCATAGTCTAAGAGCAACCTGCATATAGTGTCAAAAGTGAACCTTTGAAATATATCCTGCAAATCTACCTCTTTGCCTAGTTCGCAAATTGATTCTAGCACTGGTAAAAGCCCGCTTTCCACCTTGTTCCAGACAATCGCTTCAAAAACACTTTGAAAGTTGGGTTGCCTTAAGAGGGACATGGTGGTTTTGCGCTGGATCTCCCATATATGTCCATCGGCATTAAAGATTCCATCTCCGAGGATATCAAACATTTTACGGAAATTTTGGCCTTTAGGATAATTAGGGAAGTTCTTGCTTAAAATGTGATGGATATCTAATGGATCCGTTGTAACGAGCATATCCATGTTGGCGAACCATGGACCTTTAAACATGAAAGTACCACCACTTCGTTTCAGATAAATAGTGGCCAAATCATGCAGTTGGTGCAAGTTTGTGAGGACTGCTGGTATCATACCAAGAAGCACCAAATTTCTATGGACAAGTGTTTTTAAGTTTTGAGGTTTGTAACGAAAAACAAGAAAGGAAAGGAGAATGAAAACAAAGAGAATGAACAAAGATGGAAGGAAAGCCATGTGGAAGAGAATGAGATGCACAAATATAGAGATGAACTTACGTCTTACTATATAGTCATGCCATATATATAGTGGTGCATAATGGTATTGTAGCTAGGTATTTGTTTTCATTTAATTTTGATCCATTTCAATTTTAATAAATTAAATAAGTTATTATTTGTTGAATATTTGAGATAATTTTTTAGGGTTTATGTTGCAATCCACTATCCAACTATTTCTAACAAGTATACATTTAGTCGCTGTAATTTTTTTTACACTTATATATGATCATTTAACTTTCAACCCTTGTTAAAATGTTATATCGTTATGACATTATATAGTGATGAGCTTTTGTAGGTGCATGCTTTTGTTGGATAGTTTTTCCACTTGGAATCCATGTAGGTGTTTATGTGGTATACATTGTTTTTATTATTTGTTTATTAAAATTTTACATTTTTATTTTAAAACACATAACCATATCTGGAATTGTTCTAATGGTTTATAAAACCAAACCAAACCAAAACGCCACCACCACTGCCATCATCCTTCACCACACCATCCACTATGTACCATCACCCTCCACCACCACCTTCTTCCTTCACCACCACCATCCACTATATACCATCACCCTCCACCACCACCTTCTGGCATATAGTGTAAGAATCTTAAACAAAAGTTGTTCATCGTTATTCTTTGCTCTCTCTCTCTCTCTCTCTCTCTCTCTATATATATATATATATATATATATATATATATATATATATATATATATATATATATATATATATATATATTCTTTGACAATCTGTATACAAATCCATACGTTCTTTTGCTTCTTTAAACTTTGGTTTAGTGAAGTCTGAGACATTAGCAATGGATAATGTCTTTTGCTAAAACAGAAAGGTTGTCGCTCAGTGTGTAGACCAAATTATATATGTCGCCAACCTAGTTACCTAGCTATTTAGATGACGGATTACTTATAGATATGGCCATGTTACCCAAGTCTTTTTGTAGCTTATGTTATGTTCGACTCATAATTATGTAAAGATAATGTCGAACATTCCACACTGATGGTCAGGTTATAAATCCATGGATTTCTCTAAGCATAAAACTATAAAAAAAAAACAAATAAGTTATGTTTGATCGATTTACGTACGTATATTTCAATTTAATTTAAATTGGGAATTTGACTTACTAAGGTAATTAAGTATTTCAAATATTCACATATGGGTAATATTGTTTTTTTTGTACTCATTTACCCAACAAACTTGTTTCAGCCGTTCAATAATAACCAACATTACCGGCTATTACCTGTTTTAGCCGGTAACATTGATTTAGTTCGGTTTAAAACATTACGTGGAATCTTACGTGGCCATTACACCCCTTTCTCATTTAATTAGGGTTCGTCATTGTCAGCTAACACACCTCGATTACCTTCTTCTGTGAGAAATCAATCGATACATCAAATCGACGATTAGGTCTTGGAATTGAAGTTGGAATTGAAGTCGACTACTAGCATGGCATCCTCATCTACAGGTATGTATGTATCTGTAGATTTTCATTACAATGGATTCTTTTCGCCAAACCCATTGGTGTACTTAGACCCCGTAAAAACAAATGTACGTGATGTGGATTTTGGGGGATTTACGTATAAAGAGTTTCTTTTGTGGCTTACGAAATTAACAAATGGAGAATGTGATAATGTCTACTACTGCATGAGAAAGGAAAGCTTGTGTGAGGGTATTAGAAGAATCGATAGTGATGCTGATTATTGGGAGTTTGTGGAGACTGTTTATAGTCTGGAGAGTGATAGTCTTGAGAGTGAGTTATGTGTACATTGACCACCGAAATGAACCAATTCTTGATTGGGCTGATAACGAGTTCTTAGAAGATGGTAAAGGGTATGAGTTGGATGAGTTGGATGAAGAGGATGACAAGGATTCTGAAGTTTCAATGAAAATGGAATATGAACATGAATGGGATGATGAAGATGAACATACTTTTGATAAAACTGTTAGAGACCCATTCTTGGACAAACTTTCAGGGCATATTAGTGATGATGATGAAGAGGAAGCAAACAATGGGAAACTTAAGGATGTTGTGTTCCCTGTCCATAATGAGAATCAAGAATGGGAGCAAATGGTGCCAGTTTTGGGTATGAAGTTTTCTAATCCATTGGAATTGAAGTTGTGTATCACCAACTATGCAGTCAAAAATGGATATGATTTATGGTATGAGAAAAGTGATCATGAAAGGTTATTGGTAAAATGTTGTAAAGGTAAGACAAATAAACAGGGTAAAGGTTGTCCTTTTAGATTATGGGCAACCTGGATGAGCAGTGAAAAATCATTCCAGATTAAATCTCTGAATGATATGCATAATTGTGCAAGAGTGTTCAAATTTGGGTCCATTGTTACCTATAAATGGATAGCAAAGCATTTCATGAATCATATACTTCAGAAACCAAAGATGAGTATAAGGAAGTTGAAAGCTAAGGTCAGCAAGAAATTTAATTTGATTGCAAGTGTTGGTCAATGCAGAAATGCAAGGAAGTATGCATTTCAGGAGATAGAGGGTACTTTGAAAGAGCATTATGCAAAAACATGGAGCTATGGAGAAGAGATAAGAAGGACTAACCCTGGATCAACAGTGAAGATGGATGTAGATGTCATGCCTGATGGAACCACATATTTCTCAAAGTTTTATGTATGTTTCAAGGGATTGAAGGATGGATGGATTGAAGGTTGTAGGAGGGTAATTGGACTAGATGGTTGCTTCCTAAAGGGCATATGCAGAGGTCAGTTGCTCTCTGCTATAGGTAGAGATGCAAATAACCATATATATCCCATTGCTTGGGCTGTTGTATCAGTGGAAAGTAAAGAAACATGGAAGTGGTTTATTAACCTTCTAATTGAGGACCTTGGAATGGGAGTTGGGCATGGACTAACCTTGATATCAGACCAACACAAAGTAATCAATTTTTATTATTTTCATCTTTATTTTAGCTTATGTTATGTTTTTGTTGTTTAAATTTTGTGTCTATTGCTAACAGGGATTACTTGAGGCTGTGAAGGAAAGGGTCCCAGCAGCAGAGCATAGGCAATGTGCTAGGCACATATGTGCTAACTTCCTGAAAAGGTTTAAGGGCCAAGTGTTTAGAAAGCTTTTTGGTATGCTGCTGCAGCTACTACCCCTGCAAAATTTGAACAACACATGAATGAAATCAAGAAATTAGAGCCACTAGCTTATGACCATTTGATGGAAAGGGACCCTAAAACTTGGAGTAAAGCATTTTTTCAGACTGATAGGGCTTGTGATGCATATGAAAATGGTATCTCTGAGAGTTTCAACTCTGTGATTGAAGTTGCTAGGAAGAGACCACTAATCACCATGTTAGAAGAAATTCGAATTTATGTGATGGAGAGGCTTTATAGACAGAAGATTAAGGGGCAATCTTGGGATTTAACCATATGTCCTACCATTAGGCTGAAGTTGTCCAAGCTTAAGGATCTTCAAAGGTAAGTGCTTAAAACTGTTTGTCCTTATATATGTTTGTCTTTAAACATGTTTGTCCTTATATATGTTTGTCTTTAAACATGTGTATATGGACAGGTTTTGGAAAGTAATACCATCTGGTTATCAACAGTATGAAGTCAGACTTGGGTATGATGCATATGTTGTGGATATTGGTAGTAGGACATGTGCCTGCAGAACTTGGCAGTTAACAGGTTACCCTTGTGTGCATGGGTATGCTTGCATTGCAAGCCTCAACAGGGATGTACAGGAGTATGTGTCACCATGGTTTACCACATCAATGTACCTAAACTGTTACAGGAATACCATTAACCCACTAAATGGTAGTGACATGTGGCCTCATGTAGACTACATCAGCCCATTGCCCCCCAAAAGGAGAAGGCTACCAGGAAGACCATCAACAAAAAGGAAAAGGGATCAGATTGAGAGGGAAAACCAAGGAAAAAAGCATTCAATCACAAAAAGAGGTAGTGTGATGAAATGCAGCATATGTAGGGAAAGTGGGCATAATAGAACAACCTGTCCTCAAAAACCAATTGGGGAATCATCAAATGCAAGTTCAAAGAAAAAGAAATCCAAGAAAGCTGGTATGTTTGATATATTTATTTGTATATAACTTGTATAACTTAACATATTGGGCATAACTTAACTTTTCAAGTAATACAAAACAGATAAAGTGAAGGTTGTATTGGCACATGAAGTTGATATTGACAGTGACAGTGAAGTTGAAATAGAACCTGAAAGTGATGTTGACTCTTTTGATCTTGAATTTGAAGATGATGTGCAACCTGAAGTTGAAGATGGAGTAGAACCTGAAGTCCAAGATGGAGTGCAACATGAAGTTCAAGATGAAGTGCAAGCTGAAGTTGAACCTGAAAATCATCCTGAAGTTCATGATGCTAACCAAGTTGAAGTTCACCTTGCAGTTCAAGCTGAAGTTGAACCTGAAGTGCAAGTTCAAGTTGAAGATGCTAACCAAATTGTAGTTCAAGATCAAGTGGAAATACCAGCTTTTCAAGTTGTAGTGGGAAAGAGGGCAAGGAAACCTTCAGAAAGAATTACAAAACTGAAGATAAGAAAGATGTGGGAGGGAAAACAGGGCAGTAGTGATGACAATCCGTATGAGTTGGATTAACTTTTGGCTTATTGTACTGTTGTTAATGTTTTTGGCATCTTTGACTGACATCTTTTAACTTTGGAATCTTTTGGCACATCTTTTGAAAACTAGTTGGAATAGCTTAACTTTTTGCACATCTTTTGGGTGTAATGAATGTTTAACTATGTTATGTAAAACTTTTGACACATCTTTTGAAGTCAATGTTCCCTGGAATGTCTATAATATATTACCATCTTTTGCACATCTTTCT